AAGCATCTTCAGGATAGTTCCCACACCTTGAGCACACATGAGACGGAAGCACCCTTTTCTTAAATAAATTGACTGCAGTTGGTAGAATTTCAGTACATGCCTGCCAAAGCAGCATCTTAATTTTGTTGGGGACAGCAAGCTTCCAAATTCGCATCCAGAAGCCTTCTTGAGCACTCTGATCCGATCCCCCCACTCCAAAATCCTCATCGCACTGCCTTACCGCCACACGATAACCAGTTTTAACGGAATATTTCCCGTTCTTTGAGAAAAACCAATATTTGCTATCACCCAGCTGTGAAACTGATCCCAAAGCGATGCTAGAAATGATATCCCGATCTTCCAAGCTAAAATGTTGCTCTAACAGTGGTAAATTCCAAGAGCCAGAAGCCGTTAGAAGGTCAGAGACCATAGAAGTCCGCTCCAGCCCTCTAGTCATCAACGATTTAAACGTAAATGGTTTTGGAATCCACCTATCTTAGAGAACACGGATAGAAGCTCCATTGCCCACCCTCCAAAGCAAGCCATCCTCAATAACCTCACATCCCCACATAATAGATCTCCATATCATTTACGGCGAGCTCCCCAAACTAGCCTGCATAAAATCATCCTCTGGAAAATATTGGGCTTTAAGTATCTTAGCCACCAGAGAGGTGGGGTTGTCTAAAATACGCCAATCCTGTTTTGCTACCATGGCTTTATTAAAAGCTTCAAAGTGTCTGAAACCAAGGCCTCCTAGACATTTTGGTTTACACAATTTTCTCCAACCCAACCAATGAATTCCTTTCCTACCACTCTTCCCCCACCAGTACCTTGCAATCATAACAGATAATTCCTGACACAAAGATTTTGGCAACTGAAATACTCCCATTGTATAAGTAGGTAGTGCCTGACCAACCGCCTTAATTAAGACTTCCTTGCCCGCCGCTGACAGCAACTTCGTATCCCAAGTATTAAGCTTGAGCCACACTTGTTCTCGCACATGATTAAACATCCAGGATTTGCTGCGTTGAGCTAAGGTGGGCAGCCCAAGGTAGCGTTCATGACATGTAACAATCGACACTCCAAGCATTTCAGCAATTAGTTGCTTCATCACCGAATCAGTGTTGGGGCTAAAACATACTGCAGACTTATCAAAATTAATTTTCTGACCAGATGCTCTCTCATACATGCTGAGAATCTGAAGCAAAGAAGCACAATCAGCAAGATAGGCATTACAAAAAAAAGAGACTATCATCTGCAAAAAAATAAATGAGAAATAGTAGGTGCTCCCTGAGCCACGGAAATGCTGCTAATACACTTGATTCTGAGTGCGTTAGAAAGCAAAGCAGACAGTCCCTCCGCACAAATTAAAAACAGATAAGGAGAGAGAGGATCTCCCTGACGCAGCCCCCTTGATGGCACAATCATTCCCGAAGCCACCCCCCGAACTTGAACAGAGTATGTAACAGTGGACATGTAACAAACGCTTAAGCATAGCCTCAATAAAGGTCCATTCCACTCTGCCATAAGCTTTAGACATATCCAGCTTTAATACCATTTTCTTCAGCTTACTCCCACCACGCCGTTTAATAGAATGGATGCTTTCAAAAGCAGCAATAATGTTGTCCGTAATCAGCCGTGTAGGGACAAACGCGCTCTGAAACTCGGAGATGATAAGCGGCATAATAGGCTTCAACCTGTTAACTATAGTCTTGGAAATCATCTTATAGATCATTGTACACAAACTAATTGGCCGAAACTCCGTAACTTTTACCGGATTGTCAACCTTAGGAATGAGCGTTAAAAGTGTGTGATTAATTGCTTTCACACTGGAACCCCCATTCAATACATTAAGGCAGTACCCTACCACATCATTGCCTACCACCCCCCAATACTTCTGATAAAACAGTGCCGACATACCATCCACTCCTGGAGACTTAGTAGGAAACATTTGACCCAAAGAAGTTTCGATCTCCTCCCTTAAGAGAACTTGATTGAGGCGCAAATTTTGAGATGGAGTGAGTATCGGCTTGACCACCTCAGTGACTGCCCCTGCCTCATGAAGGCCATTGGAAGCAAACAAGCCTTGAAAATAATCACAAAAAACAATGCCAATACTTTCAGTAGATGTACGTCATATCCCCTGATCATCTACAATAGTCGTAATTAGATTCCGTCGTCCCCGCATTTTTGCATGTTCATGGAAAAATCTTGTATTTTTGTCCCCATATTTCATCCATGAGACCCGCGATCTCTGCCTCCACAACATTTCTTCTCTTTCCAGTAACACATCCATTTCCCTACAAATATCTCTCTGTTGAAACTCAACTACTGGAGAAAACCTTCTTCTTTGGGTGTCATCTAACTTCCGCTGCAGACTTCGGAGCTTTGTGGGTATTCGGCCTACATGGTCATTATTCCACGTCTGCAGAGACCCTTGACAAGCCTTCAATTTCTCTATGACAGTTCCAGTCTCAGACTCCCAAGCATGCGTAATGACGTCTTGGCAACCCTCAACAGTAGTCCACATTTCCTCGAACAAAAACCGCTTATGCTTCCGCGCCCAAGTACTTGGTCTCAAATATGACAACAAAGGAAGATGGTCAGACACCATAGAATTCAGATGATGTGTTGTGACCTCAGGAAAAGTCCTAACAAAGTCACCATTAGCCACCATTCTATCCAGCCGAAGCTTACATTCCCACCACCTTACCACCGGCTAGACCATGTAAACTTATACCCCTGAAACCGAATAGTTGTCAAACCACACTCCTCCAAAGCTTCCCGAAAGGCCCTCATTTGTGACATGGGTTGGAAACGGCGACCAAAGTACTCATGAGCCTCAAGTATTTCATTGAAATCCCCACCTACAAGCCATGGCCCTTGAACAGTCCCTGCAATTCGTCGTAGCAAATCCTAAGAGTGCCAACGTAACCTCGTTTCAGGATTACCATAAAACCCAGTAAAGCGGAAAGTCTCCATATCCACACCCTTTAAAATAGCGTCAATATGCCCTAGAGAAGAAGAAAGAATAGATACTTCCACTCCGTGTTGCCATAACAAAGCTAAACCCCCCACCCTTCCTTCTCGTCCAACACTGAAGCATCCCATCATACCCAACTGCCATTGCACACACTCCATCTGGCGCACCGTCTTTTTGGTCTCCGACAAAAAGATGATATGAGGCTTTTTATCTCTGAGAAGGAATCTTAGAGCTCGGAATGTTCGTGGGTTGCCCAAGCCTCGAACATTCCAGCATAATATTGTCATTGCTCGTGATGGGCCCGACCCCGGGGACCCATCACGGGTGTGCGCTTAGCACTAGATGTATTATCAGTCATCACA